TCTGAATACAAGTCTCTTATCTCTCTTTACTCTCTTGTCTCTCCTTTTTATTGTTATGCTTAGTTTTATATTTGTAGTCTATCAATAATTTTATAAAAAAAATATATTTATAATTTTTTTCAATTAAAATGTATATTATGTGAATACGTAAGACAAATTAAAAAACTTTACATTAAAGTCCGGAGGAAGTAGTATCATCCAAACGACTAATCATTTGCTAGCATGCCGCTATTTCTATCATTTTTAGATTCCCTCAAGTCATGGTTATCAATAATTCCAGAATTTGAAGTTTCAGATAGAATTGATCAATGGGTCCCTATCTATCAAGCATGCTTAGACACCAGAAATTCTGAGTTTTTTTTTTTTACATGATACAATCTCTAAGGCCATTCAATAAAGACACACACTTTGTATTTTTTACGTGGTCCAATACAATAAATATGTCATTTTATTTTGGATTAGGTTCATACTGTGGTGCAAATTACACCTTCTCGTTCTATTTTAAGACACAAATTCAAACTGTGAATAATAAAATAATTAGTCGGCAGCCTTCTAACAAAATTTACTCTCGATCTCAAGCCATAATAAATAACATCATAACACTATAGTTATTTTGAGGCAACTAAATCACAGAAAAGTGAGTGTGTGTGTGTGTGTGTGTGTGTTTTTTTTTTTTTTTCTATTTCTTTTAATACACCCGTGAATGAGTGTGAAGGTTTAATAGCTCCTCATTTTTACATTACAAGGTCTTAGAAAATGAAGTATTATTAGTCTCACATTTCATTTCAGCCATGCACGCCCGAGTGATGTTCTTTTACAAAATTAAGGTTGGTACTAAAAATGCTTGCATCAATTTTCAGAACCTAGGATGAAAAAATAATATTCTCTCCTGTACTTATTATAAGATATTTTGATTTCTCATGTTTCATTTATTGTGTTCTTCCAATTAAAAGTAAAATATTAAAAATACATTTTCACAATTATTGTATTCTTCCAATTATTATAAAGTATGTTTAAGATTTTATTTTTAACTGAAAAAAAAACGATAACTGAAATTTAGAAAAAATCAAAATACTTTATAATAAGAAACCGAGAAAGTAAAAAATTCTAAACATTGGGACACAAGCATTAGCTAATGTGACCCAATTTTCGGGATGAAAACACTCATCTCATATTTTCTTCGTTCCATCTTTATAAGTTATAACCCTAGCTTATTCTCCTTTTGTGGATACATTACAAGAGCAAGAAGTAGAGGAGACGGTGCGGGACCTTAATAAGGATGGAGATGCACGCCAAGTGAGAACTAATTTTTTGTTCGGGTGATGCCAAATCCAATACACGGAAAAGGGTGATTTTGAGTTTGAGTAGATTAGACAAGTATTATTAAAAACAATTATTTGATAGATTATAAACTTTACTAGATGCTTGGCCCGGCCAAAAGGCCGGCCGGCCGTCTTCATATATTTTTTTTCGAATATTCTATGACATTTCTTTATGAGTTTAAATTTTCTTATGACAAAATAATAATAAAAATATTATTTAAGAGTTAATTTATACATTCTTGTGGGATGAAGGCTTGTTTGTATTCAAGTATCTGTTTACTCTTTAAAATATTAAATACAGAATCATTATGATTGAAAATTATGTTCAAAAATTTATTTAGTCGGCAGTCTATTTCATCAAATCTAATTAGATGAAGATGAGACAATGAGGACTTGGTAGATACTGCAAAATAATTTTGCATTACATCGTTGGTTCATGGTCGAATAGACGATACCATCGATAGTGAGGATCATTCACCGGGTCGTCGATCATTCACTCGGATCGTCGATTGGATCTCTAACCCAAATTAATGACACGCGATTTTCATCTTTTTCTCCTAGTCGAACTCATCCATTGACGCTGGCTGGACTTTTTTTGGGGCTTGTTGTCCCTTTTGCTGAATTGAAATAGAGTTTTATCACTTTTTTTAAAATGAATATATTACAATGACAATATATATACATTTATTTACTGAAACAATTGTCTAACATTTCGATCTTTGTACCCGCCTTTAATATTTTGATTCCATGAGTAAATATATATCTATATAAATAATTTATTTATGTATCACATTTTTCTTTATTCAAAATCTTAATAATTATTATTTCACAACGGTTGCGACACACATTTTTTACATTGTATAAAAAAAAAGTCAAATAACAATGTAACGCGTTTAACATCTGGTAAAATTAAAAAATATACAAATATAGATTCATTTAGAGAGCCATAAAAATAAATGGATTATACTATTTTTGGGACTTTCAGTAGTTATTTATCCAGCTATAACTTAAAAGATGTAGACCCCCCATATGGAAAATCTAATCCCAGTAATGATATATACGATTATACGCCATGATAAGCAAAAACTTGTTGCTAGTTTTCCAACGACAGACCATTTCCCATCCTTTACCCTATATAGTTTCATCAACAAAACTTAATCAATAATCCTTCTCTATTCATCAAATCCTTTAGCCACATCATTTGATCTCCAGATTCTACGTATCTGTCAAATCCACCTCCTAAGCATCAAAAGAGTAGCTAGAGGAATTATCCCTGGTGAAACTAAAATCGATTCATCCACAACTCTCAGCCATCCCCATTATTCTCAAGCTCATCTTCATATCCTTCACAATTAGGCAGCCTTGGTAATGCCAGAAGGTACTCACCATCTGCTGGGATAAATCCCGAATCAACTAAAAACACATCAGCAAGCAATTCCGGTCCAATGTAGTGAAATCTGTGTTCCCAAACAACAAACTGCAACAATTATAATGCTTATAGTAGTTGGTTTGTCGAATAACATTCAGCAAAATGACATCAAAGAAGAGAAATGGAGATGAGTAATCACTAAAGCATAAAGATAATTATACACTTAGATTAATATATTCTCCATGTATTGATTTCGTCCTTCTTCATTCTCAAGAAGATTTATAGCATGTATAGAGACAATGATGGTCAATACCAGTGTGATAGAGCAGCCACATAATAGCCCTGCATCCCGGAAAATACATCAAAAAAGTTGTATAATATAACACTGAAATCATATGATCAAAACAAACAATAAGCTTCGCCTAACATCAGTAGAAGCCAATAATTATCATACACAAAAGCCTGTTATAATCTCCCCTCCATTTTCTTCAAGTCGTTCTTGCTGAATGACAAATCAGACATCAAGCTGCCAAAGAAACTTTACCAAGACTTGTAATTGAGGATGCGTAGAAATTTCCTCTTTATCAGTTTCTTTTAAATAACAAATCTGATTTGAAAAGAAAAAACACTATTGAACATGATTGAAGGGATAAATCATCATATCAAGCTGTTTAGAAATTTTGCAGGGATTATTTCTTGTGTTTATCAAATTAAATTGAACTAATCATCCAGAAAGAAAATCAAAACTACCACCTTTATTCTTTAAAAGCAAATAGAATCCTGAGACGTGTAGGCCTAACTGGTAATATGGAATTGGGTTAACCAACCAATGCTTCTCGTGTCATTTGGAGGAAACATTACATGAACAAAAAAAAGCCCAGTAAAAAATAGATAACCCAAATCAATCAATAATTAAATTTACCTTGAATATGAGGAGGTTCATGAAAGAATTCTCCGTCAACCAACTCTTTAAAAACCACACTGCTCTGCCAAAATTAATGTAGGAAAGAACAAATCCCCATTTTCAAGAACACTTTAGTCATTGAAACCCATTAGTAAAATATATCAAACGTCCTTAAAAGGAGAAATTACCAAAAAAGAATAGAACCCAAACAGAAATCCTAAATAAAAAATTGCCCTTACCTTTTTATATCAGCTGCCGCTTTCTACCTCGATCCATCGTCCTCCGGCCCTTCGTCCACCGATTGTCCAATCTTTCGTATTCAAAGGGGATTTGATTCCGCGACCAATAATTCGCACGCGTTATTCAGCATGATGATGGCAGTATTTCAATTGATCTCAACTGTAACAGTAACATTGATCTCACTGATTGACCGTTTTGGTGCCTATGGCTTTTTTAACAAATAATAATATCTATGCAAAAAATGACGGAGATCTTTGTTGTATATCTTACCATAATGCCCGAATCAAGCCGAATTGGATTGTTCCTCTTTCTCCTCTTCGACGTCTTCGTCAGAGAATATCAGTATTGGGATCAAAAGCTAGAGGTTATCAAAGCGGCCGACTCCAGATCCGACACTGTCGCTTAGGGATTTCTATGCCGACCAAAGATGAGAGAAGCGGCCAGGAGGAAACTCGAGGTGGCACAAGTGATGCTAGAATGCTGAGTAGCCGATTGAATCATGAAAAAAAGAGAGATTATAGAATTTGAATGAAGTTTAGGAAGGTCCAAATGAGAGTTTTGAATTTTGATTTTACAGATTTAATGGGATTTATTGTGATCGGGAAGAATTTGTCTTGAGGAAGCTATTCATCTTGAGAGACTTTTACTCCGGATTTTATTACGATTGGACATTTGAATTTGAATTAATATATCCATTCGTTTGAAATGTAACTGATCCTTATTTGTAGTAAAACATGTGTTTTTTTTTTAAAAAAAAATTATATAGCTTCTAATTAAAAGAGACTTACACGTGGCAAAAAGACTCCTGAAATCTGAAATATGGTGCATTGGAGCCAAAACAGATGCATACATAGTTGGCACATAAGCTTCATATCTTCTGCTTTAATAGGGTAAAAGGGATTAGTACACCTTTACAGGAATTTTAAAAATTTCACAACTCAATCAAGAATTACAACGTCATTAATAAATTTTTTTTAGTCATCTTCAAAAACCATAGATCTAATAACGTGATTACTTTCCTAAGTCATTAGACCATAACTTTTTATCTATAACTATATAATTATTACTAATTAAATTATATATTCAGTTGCGGCTCATTTCTTCTGATTTCGGAAATGTTAAAAAAAAAAAAAAAAAAAAAGAAGCCACATTTTTTTGGCGCCGTCGGACTTTTTGTCTCATACATAAATGAGTTAATGGAGTTGGTAGTTGAAATTTATGCCTCCACTTGGACTCACTGATACGACTCGATCAAACTTCCCGGCGTCCGCCCGCCTCCTTCCTCCGCCGTCAAACCATCACAAAACTTACCGGTTTTCTTTCCTCCTTTCTCCAACTCCACTATTGCGGCTCATTTCTTCTGCCTGTTGAGGAAGTGAAATGGGAGGACAGTCTTCCAAGAGCTCCAGGAAGTATCGGAATCCGTACGCCAACGCCAATACCAATTCCAACTCCAATAGTTATTTGAATCAGTCCAAGGTTTACAGTGAAAGGCAAGCGCAGCAGACGCCGGCGCCGACTCAATCAACGGTTGAGAAAAAGCCACAATCGCACCAGCAGGAAGAATTGGAGGATTTATCTTCAGCTGGACTCAGAGGAGGCGGCGGGTATGGCAGTAGTGATGACGAATTTTACGACGGAATTCCGAGGTTTCGTCGGAGTTCCTCTCAGAAATCCCGTTCTAGGAGGGCTAAGGTATTCTCTATTTCCTTTCACCCCCCTTTCTTTCCGTTGTTTCAATTATGATAGTTCATTTCCTTTGAATAGTTATTTCGTTTTTAATTCGATGTAGGAAACGTTTGTACAATGATTTGCTACGAATAAAATATATTGGGCATAAGAAAATTTAAATTCTCTTCATATGAGTGATGGTTATAAATGATTGTGGTGATGAAGATGATCTCTTTTGATCGCCGGAGAGTTGGCTTAACATTTCTGCGATGCCAAAATCCAAAATATGTCTTTTGATGAAATTATCCTTTCGAATTTCATTTCCTTAGTTTGCCATTAAGTTACAGTGTCACTACATGACAGGTTTCGGAGAAGGCTGCTGATATATTTGACTCACTCGGAAATAGCATGGCTAACTTAAATCCTGGAAGTGGATTTGTATCTAGAGGAGCAGCCAAGAGCAACGAGCTTTCGATTTTAGCATTTGAGGTTGCCAACACGATAGTTAAAGGAGCAAATATCTTGCAGTCGCTTTCGAGAAAGAGCATTAGACTACTGAAGGAAGGAGTGCTTCCATCAGAAGGTGTTCAAAAATTAGTATCTACTGACACGGACGAACTTTTGACGATTGTCGCAGCTGATAAGAGGTTTGCAAGATTGAATTTTTTGCATGTTCTTCCCTAAAGGAGTCATCGGAATTGACTTCATTATGCCATTGATTTGGTTCAGAAACACAGCTAATGATGCATTGTTATACAGGGAAGAGCTGAGAATTTTTGCAGCAGAAGTGGTTCGTTTTGGAAATCGTTGTAAAGATCCACAGTGGCACAACTTGGACATCTTCTTTAAAAAGTTAGTTGCTTATCCTCAATAGATGATTGTTACTTGTCATTCTGCGTAAAATACAGGTCATGTGGTGTCTTGTCATATGTACCAGCCTTATCAACTCATTCATTTTTAAAAATTGTACCTGGCTATTAGATTCATGTACTAACGTTAACTTGGTTGCATTATTTCTCAAATTTGTAGACATAGCAGAGAACCTCAGAAGCTAACATGGGAGGAAGCTGAATTCACAATGCATGAGTTAATGATCTTGGTCCAGAATACTGCTGTCAGTACAATTTTCTTGCTAGTTAACATCTTTTAATTTGCAACCTATGCATTTTTGGTTTCCATCGATTTTGTCGCTGTGAATTGTATTTTGCTAGTTTTTTCTTCTCCTTTGTGTTTGTGTTGTTGCTGCTCAGAATGGTGAGAATGCTTGAATTTATTGAACTCCTGTAGTAACTGAATATCAAGCGTGCTTTAATCCCTAGTTAGTTAGTCCTTAATGTTTAGGAGCTCCATTGAAGTCTAGTAATGGATACTTCTTATACAGTTGCATCTGCAAACATCAAACTTCTAATTCAATTATCGCATTGTTACCATGAGATGGTTGTTTGGGTAGGAGCTCCATACAAGTCTAATTATGAATACTTCTTATACAGTTGCATCCATGACCAACAAACTTCTAATTCAATTATTGCATGATCCTTGACAAGGTTCAAAGAAAGGGTGGGTGGATGGTGATTAGTGGGTCGCTAGTTTCTACACTATGGAGGTTCAACTCGTCCTTCTTATACAGTTGTACGCATGCATAAATATTTCCTTTTGAAGCTCCAGCTCATAAGTTACGTTTTCCATGACTGAAAAAACAGAAACTAGAAGAAAAGGAAGGAACAAAAGCTGTTTCACTGGAACTTGATATGGAGCTTTTTTAGGTGACAACAATAAACTATTTTACAACCTAGCATTCTGATGGGCTTATAATGGAAGATGGGACTTCAAGTTCCAGAATGAATGCTTCCATGAGCATGCAAAATTAAATACTTGGTGTGACATATGGACTTTGTCCATTGAAATCTAAAAGTGGTTGTTCTGTTCTCCGGAACAACTCATGTTCTGGGTCAATTTCTAGTTGTTGCTTTTTATGTATTGACCAACCCATGTTCGTTTGATGGATTTTAGCACTCTGCTTCACTGCCTGCTCTGTTTTTGAAATGGTTTATGTCTAAGTACTGCAACCGCTATTAATTGCCCATCCTTATAGTCTATAACTGTTATGTGCAATGTGGGTTCCACATGCTTAGGTCTGTTAGTTTGCGGAGGTATATATTGTAGGTGCTAGTTGGGTATGTTACCTTTCAGAAGCTTTTGATTGTTAACAGAAAGATTTTACCCTTCAAACCACATGTCAATTGTGTAAATTTTGTTCCATTATCTGTTCATATTCAGCAATTGCGTATATGACCTCAAAAAAATACAAGAAGTCAACTAAGCCTTTATCTCACTGCGTGAGAACTTGAGAGATTAATAAAAATCAATATGGAGTTTTATCTTTGTTGAGTTGAATAAACCAAGCAGAAATTTTCTGGACCTGAAAATTCGTTCCCTCCTTTTACCAGGTTGCTCGTGATTCTTTTCATATTCTTTGATCAATAAACAGAATCTTGTTAGTATAAATTTCTATGATTTTGGGACTGTTGATTCTATTCTGGCAAGTATGGAGTTTAATATTTGATTACTTTTCAAAGGTTATGGTGAATCTCTTAACATACTATTGATTCCACTTCAACATGAGTGAACTTCACCAACATCTGGAGATATAAATAATCTAAAAGAATAGTCCCTTAAAAATGGTAAGGAATGTGCTTCCATTGCCGCGAAAGCATTTACACCTGCCAATAATCATTCTAATCCTCATAACAGCAATAAATTCAGGTATAACATAGATTTATTGCAGAGCTTAAAATCACTCCTTCACAACTGCAGTCAAGGAGGAATCCCTTGTAATCCAACCCCATTGGTCATGGTGAAATTGAAGTAAAAATGGATCACCATTGGTTGGCGTAACATAAATTTCCATCCTGATGACGACTACTCTAAAACCTAATCCAAAAGTTAAGAATGTTTTAATGCAACATAACTGTGGTTTGATATCACTAAGTGAATCTGTGATGAAATAAGTGGGTTGTTCCTTGTAACAAGTAAAGAAATCCATAAAAACTTTTAAATGGAATGCATGAAGGCTATGATTAACAAATCTCCAATGGACTGCCATCATGTTCTTCATATGTTTTCTGTTCAGTGTACTACCCACCATAAAACAGTCATTCTCTTTCTTTTTCTGTCTCTGTGGGCCGGTGGATTGAGCTCTACCTGGAAGGAATAATTAACTATTTGTATTTAGATGTGTGAATTCCTGATAGTCTGTAGTGATGTTGATCATTTACATTGTTCATGATTCATATTCCAGTGCTATCTTATAAATCTACAACTCAAGCAGAAGAAAAATAGGATTTTTTTTTTTCAATGTCATTGTTTTTGTCTATGATGCCAAAATCGTCTCTAGGTCTTCTTCTACTTCATCTTTCTTGGTAAATTCCTTGAACGAACGGGTCTTTTTCTTGATCTACATCCTGATTTTGGGCATCGATGGTATATAATCAACAAAACAAAATCATAATAATATCTATAAGAACTAAATACTTGTTGGACTTAACGAGCTACATATAGGTTATGATGAGTGTTGCTACTACATTCAAAGAAGATTGTTACAGTTCAACAAAGAACTAAAATTTTTAATGAAATATGACATATGCATCATTTGTTGAGAATATTAGAATTTGATTGCATATCTTACTCGACAGGAGCTATACCAAGAGTTGCATGCCTTGGACAGATTAAAGCAAGAATACCAGCATAAGCGCTTGGAGGCTTGCATTTCAAGTTCCCTTTCTAAAGGTGATACTTTCTCTTTCTTCATGCCAACAGCAGTCTCTTTTCATTTGCAAGAGTAGCTGTGAAATGATCTCCTTTATCCTTATCAGTTAGTTCTTAATATGTAGTGTGTTAGTTTATTTCTAATGAAGTACTGATAAAGGCAGATGCCCAAATTAAATATGCAATTCAACCCTTTTATTTCTTGGAAAAGTTGTTTGAAAATATGACAAGTGAACATGGACCTAATGAGACACCTGAGTGTGATAGGTATGACGTGTTCAGATTGATGCTTTTTCCTGTGGAGTAGAAACCTGTGACTTCTAATTTTGGATGGTGATATTGCAAAACATTTGCTTTTTTGAATTATGGATTCTACTTCTTTCCTAAATTAAACAGAGGAGTTTCTTAGGTGAAAATGATTTATATGGTAAAGGTAACCATTGAAAGTGACCGATCATTAAAAGATATAATGATGCTAATGTGGTCCCTCAACTTGGTGTTGTGTTTCCATTTAGTCTCTATTTCAAGTTGATCCTGTTTAGTCCTTCACCTTGGTGATTTGTTGTTCAGTGGTCCATAATCTAATCTTCGGCAAATGGACCACCGAGTTCGGCTCTCAAGCGGCACGTGCCTGCTGCAGTTAGGGGCACTGGATAGGAAAAAAGCGGTCCCAATGTCCCTGACAGTAGCACTTGCGATTAGTGTGATGGACGGAACAGGTGATCTATTTGCCTGAGTTTGAGTTATGGGCTGAATAAAACTTAAACATTGAGTTGATAGACAACATGGAGATGCGACAGTGAGTTGAGGGATAGCTGGTGTCATTTAGCCGTAGCATAACTTCTGTGCACCGCTTTTGTGTTCAAAGAGTGCGAATAAGAAAAACTGGACTTTGCACTGGATTTTTGAAATCAGCATTTTATCAATATGATGTTACAAAAGCTTGTGATGGATGTATCAGCTTTCAGTGTATTAACAGCACTAGTAAATAAGTTGATTGAGTAATTGTTTAGGGTGGAAAAGGCAGTTTTTGCCCATTGTCTTAGCACATATTATTTTTGGTATTTATCCTTCAAGACTGCAATTTCGGAACCCAAATTTTCAGATTCTAGAATCTTTTGGATATTAAAAAATAAGTTGAGAATAGTTAGTGGTCGATCTGATCATTTGTTTTACATGCCTTGACATGTCCCCACTAGTCAAATTGTCGAAACCTGGATTATTGAAAGATCATGTAATAGATTCTTGAGTTTCTATACCCTCCCTTCTTCTTATTAAAGTCATGTCTTTCTAATTTGGTGCTAGGATTTATGAGTTCTTCATTCTAACCAATACAAAGAATTCAATCATTCGCAATGTTGGAAAATAAATATCTGGAATACCTTTTAGGAAATTAAGGGAATGAAAGTGGAATTCCCTGGAAAAGAGAACCAAAAACTGCCTTTTCTGGCAATCAGGTAAATAGGATTGTTTTTGTTACTAACAGTTACATCCATGGTATTTTGGTTGCAACCGTAGTTTTCTGCTACCCAATTGGAGGAAAAGATTAATCATAGTGGAATATACAGAAAAGTTTAGTGTCTGGCAATGTATAATTTATGAATAAGGAAATATAATTTTTATGCGTCATATAAGTTAGTGCAAATTCAAGGTCTAAACTCATTTAGGTAGTTGAATGAAGTTCTTTCTTAGTACACCAAGATAAACAAGCAAATAGGAGCTTGATTGTATGTGATGATCTTATTCTCAAATAATCAATTTTGGAACTGTGTTTAATGATCATGAAGTAAGTAGGAATTGCCCCCAGCGTCTTTGCCTTCCAAAGTAAAAGAAGTGCATGTGCTGCAGCGGTGCTTGAAATTGGAAATCACCCTTATTCCTGACAGATATAGCAACCTGCCCACTGTGAAATTGAATTCCTTTTAACCATAAAAACAAAACAAAAAAAAAAAGAAAAGAAATTCAGTTCCTTAAGCTGTTTGATGTTGTACCCCCCCAAACCAGCATCATAACGAATGAACTCCAAGGTTTCACTCAGTCTGCTGGCTTAATAAGATGCTTTTACTCGGTCTTTCCCTTGCTTGCTTCATAGGTTCCTTTTGTTCTGCAAAGCAATTTTGTATGCTTTGCCATTTGGCTTGAAAGTTCAGCCTCCAGAGTCCAGAATTTGGATGCTGGTGATATATTTATTCTACAATAATTTGAACTTCCGAACATGAATTCCCAATATATTCCATTATTTTGCTTATTTATGAACCAAATACAGTAAAGTACGATAAAAATACATACTTGAAAGCACTCGTGCAGAAATCACATGACTCGTTTCCTTCCTTTGTTCCTGTATCTTAAATTTAGAAAACCAATAAGTCCTGAAACCTAGACACACTGGCACCTGGTACCCGAGTTAATTCCTGATTTTCTAATTAAATATCCTCCATGTCTATTAATGGATATGGGTGAAACTGACAGAAGACAGATGCAAGCACTTTTAGAGGGACTTCGTAAATCCGCTTATTTTCTGAAACTAAGAAACCAATGTTGTCGAGTCAAGTGGTTCCTTTCTTTGCCATATCTCCATATTATGAGTAGAGGGCATCTACCAATTTGATGAGGGTGTACATTTTCTTTTGTTTCTTATGCAAATTTTACAAGAATATTTTACTTAATTTTGACCAATATTACTATCATAGATTAATCACAGTTGATTATAGACCATATGATTCATTGAAGACATGATTGTTGTATCTTTTCTAATGTTTATAACATAACCTAATTTAGCGTTCCCAAATCTATAATAACTAGAAAAATCCTCTTGGAAGGCAGAGGTTCAAGGGAGCAGTTAGACTGCTCCTTAAGTTGGTTTCTTTCACTTAGTATGTGGCCTGTGAAATAACAACTGTATGTTGTATACTTAGCAATGCTTTTGATTGTTTTAGGTAATACCCCCGCCAGTCTGGCCACCGAACTGAAAACCCAAACGAAGCTTGTGAAAAGTTTAAAGAAAAAATCCCTCTGGTCGAGAAGTTTGGAAGAGGTAATTTCTAATTTGTTGATAACTTATGATTTGTTTTCTCTTCTAGCAATTGCCCAAAAGAACCCTGGCTGTAGTTTTAAACTTCCTGGCTGAGATCCATTAGGTTGTGTGAGGAACTCTGGACGAAATTGGTCCAAAACTCCCTAATTTGTTGTGAACCAAGGAACTCAATTACTTTTCACCAACCACCTCTATAAAACCTTTACTACTGGGATAAACAGGAAGAAGCTTTCTAGAAAATGTTTTCAATTTTCAATAGTGTAAGCTTTTGTCATGGAAGACCTTGAATTTGTTATAAGAAAATTTAAAGTAATCTTTTTTCGAGTACCTTTCTTGGATTACTTTTATCGCAAGACTGGCATTCTGAACCGTATCTTGTCACCTTGCTTGGATTGTCCCAAACCTGGAGCTGTTTCAAAAGCCAATAATTTGTATGTTGTGTAAACAATCTCAGGTGGATGGTTTTCCTTTTGGCAAACATGAGTTTTCAATGCAATACTTGCGGACTATTTCTTTTTCAATGAGAAAGAATAATTAGATATGTGATAATTAGGAGCAGAAATACTTCCTTTTCTACATTTGTGAACTCTTTAAGTCTTCCCTGATTCATGTGAGCTGTCTTGCAGAATAAGAACGAGTTTAACAATGTTTTGATACTTTTTTTTTTGTGAACATGTTATGATATATATTTTTTTCCTTTATGATTCTTCTTATCATTACTGTTACAGAACATGTCTTCAGTCTATTGATCTAGGTGACTACATAAATTAAATTTTGATACATGTCAGAAAGTCCTCTTGGATCTTTTTTGTGATTTGTAAGCTTTTACTGCTGCATTGATGTTTTGAGAACTGGCATAAACATACAAGTTGAAAGATGTTCATTCCAGATTAATTGTCGTGATGTTTAAATTCTTCATAGTTTATTCCATGATATTACATAAGCTTAAAGGTCTCTTCATGTTGTAATTGCAGGTTATGGGGAAACTTGTGGATACTGTTCTTTTTCTGAATCAAGAGATAAATAATGTCTTCAAGAATTCAGGTATAATCTTCTTGTAATTTGAAAAAATAATGTATTTTCTTGCCGTAGAGGTTTTCCATTTGTTAGCTAGTAAAAAGTTGACAGCTACTATTACATTATGGAATCCACACGAACAACTGTTGGCATAAAGTAAACTATTTATCACTTGAAAACAACAAAAGCCATTTGACTTTTAGAGCAATACACTTTCTAAATGGATGCTCTTCCTATAATTTCATGTTTTTCTGTGGTAGACTCACAATACTGTTTGTGTATCCTTTCTTGTTTTCTTACATGATAAAAAGGGTGTAATTTACTACTTTAATATACACCTTTGTTCCCCCTCATGTATTTCCATTTGTAATCTATTTATCTACCCGTTGTGGGTTTTTGTTGGATCATTATGTTATACACTATGATATCATCTACCTTGTTGCATAACGATTTAATGCATTTCTGGGGACAATATCATAAACTGTCCCACGCTTTTGTTGCCAAATTTAGACTTTGACCAGGCTACATTTTTCGAAAATTAAACCCATAGATTAATGTGTATTGAGTTTAGTTTCCTGTCTCATTTGTAGTTGCATGAAAAAGTAATGATGTTAACGGAGATTTAATGGTTTAAGTAAAAATCAGAGTACAAATGTTATTTAGTGTAGTTAGTTCCTGACGGCTTTTTGTTGCATGCGATAGATCAAATAAAAAGGTCTGGACTTTGACTAGTTCCCACTTTGTGTTTATGTAAACCAGATGACTAGTTGTAGACTGGTATAATTCCCGGGCACCCAAGCCCATAATTTTCTTTACCTGGGATAGTAAGTATAATTGCTTTAAGTTTGCAATTGACATAAAACTACATCGTGTATCTTGAATATGGATCATAATAAATTGTGCAAATTCTAGGAAGCTCCCAATTGTAAATAGTGCATCACAGAGTCTGTCATTGGCATCTTATCTAGGACGAGTGCATCTCCATAAGTGATTTCTGTAATATAAAATGTGCAGATGTCCTGTGCTTCCCAATTTAGAATGATGTCTTTCTGGGTCCTTTTTGTTAATACTTCTCTGTTTCATGTGTTTGTGGAAGATAATTGAATTTATCTTATTAAATTATGCCTTTAGTTCTATGATAATAATGCTTTTGTGTTTTTTGTGATCATTTTCAGTGGATAATTCTACACCTGTAGTTCAACTTGTGGGAAGCGAGCGAAAATTGGGACCATCTGGCCTTGCTTTACACTATGCTAATATCATTCTCTTGATTGATTCAATTGTAAGTGCAATTTTCAGTTGCTTATACTTTAATGTTCAGTACTTCTTTTCTGTCTGGGTGTTCACCATTCTGATAAGTTTTTGGTTATAAGTGTTCACGTTATAGAATTGAATCATGGCTACATCAGTTCCATGAATTGTTGTGTTTAAGGAAGGTGTGTAATCTATTTGTATATTTAAGCAAATCCTTTTAGCATGGTATAGTTTTTCTTTTTCAAAGTTTGTGGAGGGGTGTGAGCTTATCTGAGGTCTATTGCATGTTGGGACCTTGTCTGCATGCTATTCGTGTGATCAGTTTGGAAGGTTTTAAGAGCGAGCCAACTGCACAATAGATGCTTGCCCTGAAAATGTTAAAGTAGTATTCAACATCATGGTTTCGTGCATATTCTTTTATTACATAACGTCTTCCACTATTGGTGATGTTGACAGAGGTAGTATGTGTGCTATACATAAATGAATTTTCTTCGAATTCAATCCAAGCAAGTTTTTTGGTGTATTTGTGAAAGAGCATTGCATAATGCTGCTAATGCTAAGATTCTGTCTACAATGTTATAGGTAAGTCATTGTGCAATTTGATTGCACTTAAAAATGTAGATGGTGAGATTTTTGTGAAGTTTTCCCAGATGTTTTAGAGGATATTGTCATTGAGCTTCTCCATTGAGAGTTTTGTTTATTATATGTTCTTTATTTTTCTTCCAGCTAGCCTCTTCCCTTTTAAACTCCTCCCTTGTTTTTTCTTGGTGGGGAAAATAGTAAACTGGTTCTATGCATTTTGGTCTGATTTGTGTGTCTTCCTTGCATCTTCTACACTAAAATGAAAAAATGAGTTAATATATTATGTCAGAAATCAGTAAATGACCAAAAGTTCAGGTGTGCTGTTGATGACATTTTTGTGCTTTACCAAACTGTAACATGTTTAAACAAATTTTTCTTTATTGACTAGGTTGCCAGGTCAAGTTCTCTGCCACAACATGCTAGAGAAACTTTGTATCAAAACTTACCACCAAGTTTAAAATCCCCGTTGCGGTCCAAGTTGCGCTCTTTCCATGTCAAGGAGCAGGTATTGTTCTACTAAAGGAATATAGGATATTGATCTGCCCCCGCACGACTTTTTTTGGTCCAAACTGCTATGGATCTTCCTATAGTGTTTACCGTTTAGCAAGTACCATTGCTCGTGAAATTTCAGCGGTTCGTGACCACAAAAATTTATGCTCTTTCTCCGTCTCTTCTGCAGCTTAACACCACCGAAATTAAGGCGGAGATGGAGAAAACTTTACAATGGCTTGTTCCAATTGCCACGAATACTGCCAAGTAAGATATTGACATCCTGAAGAAACCACTTTGTGTTATTGTTTCTTTTATCTCTTTTTGCGACTATATCTTTCTTTATTACCATATTGAACAGAGCACACCATGGTTTTGGCTGGGTTGGAGAGTGGGCAAATACAGGGTAAGTTATGACGTTACCTTAGTTTCCACAAGTTTGGATATTCACAAAACCGTATTTATTGAACTCTGGGGAACTGTTGGAGATGTTTATACAGGTCTGGTTCAAATCGCCAATCAGATACATCAAGTGATGTTATCCAAATCGAAACACTCCATCATGCAGACAGGCAAAAGACAGAAGCCTACATCCTTGAACTACTGTTGTGGCTCAATCATTTGGTCAGCCAATCCAAGGTAGGTGATGCCAATGATGGCAAAAGAGAATCAATCAAGAAGGTCCCTTCTCCCAATAAGGAAACCAATGAAGGCTCCATCTCTCAGAATGATGACAGTTCATCAGTTAATTTAAGTGCGGATGGTCAGAATATGAAGCAAGATATAAGCAACGAGAGACCAATAGAAGGAACGAGCAACAGCAAGGACTCTGACAATGCAGAACGGAAAACAAGTCATTGAAGTAAAAGAGAAGATTCATATTGGGAATCGAACTTGGAATCTGACTACCTTATCGCTAAGATGAAACCAAAAAGAGATTTTGCGCAAGTTGGATTGAGAATGAGAGCATACCAACGGGCTTCTGTAAGAGTTCTATTGTTTTATGATTGTATTGTTAGTTTTCTTGTACTATCACTTTGTAAAAAAATAGCATATGTGTATTCTGTATGTCTGTACAGTTATATATTCTTTGGATCCAAGTAACTTAAATGTGAGTAATAGAAAACAGAAAGCATTTGCTTCCGAGTTCAATAATATGTTACCATCCATTTTGTTTTTCTTTTTGCGATTTCAATGTTACCATTTTTTATTTTCTTTTTTGGGCATTGTGATACGTTCGAAGTCACTCTAATGATCCATAATGCTTGACACGTTTGGATTCTATCCATCAATATTTTCTTTTTTCTTTTTAGTATCGGAAGAGAAATTTTAAGTTGTCGACGGTGAACACCCTACAAATATGAAAAAAGAAGAAAAAGAAATTTTAAGTTGGCAGAAGCAAAAGTTATAAGTTATAAAAAGAATTAAATTTGTCATGCACAATACTATTACATTTCATAGTACAACATTAAATATATCAATCCTTTTTCTTTTAAAAAATTTTTTATCGATCGAATAATGCAAAAGTTATAAGTAAACTTTGGGCCCCCCAAAAAAATTATAGAAATTACCTCACATTAATAAATTAAAAATGATTCACTAAACTAAACTTCTCTCTCTCTAAAAAAAAGTACTTTAATAAATATGCGAAAATAATGGGAAAGGATGAAATATTGTTGTACTATAAGTTATGCAACTATTTTCGATGGTTTGCTTCATAATGTACTACTCCTCCATCAGTCCACATCCAAATTTAAAAAAAAATATTAAATTTCAAAAAATTGGACTACTTAAATAATGGGATATGAATAATATTATAAATCCAATAAAGTATTACATTGATAAAATGTTACTACTAGATTATGAATGGTACATCTCAATTTGAAGTATTCTTTCGTCCCATTTTTTTTAACATATAAATAAGAATGAGACTCTTAAACGATACGAAAAACATAATTTACTCAAATATTCTTTTGTTTTATTTTAATTGTCATTATTTATTGTTAGTTCTGAATTTAGATTATTACTTTTTTAGAATGGAGGGCGTAATCACCTCTTGATAATGTTTTTGTAATGTTCATACGAAAATTTTGTATTTGAAAAAGAAAAAAGTTGATTTTTAATTCTTTTATTTTGTTTGTGGACGGGGGAGAAATAAAGGTAAGACATATCCAAGAGAAAAAGAAAATAAAAATCTCATCCAAAGAATGATGATGTATCTAGTTGTTTGTATAGACCAGATTCAAAATCTCATCCAAAGAATTTATAGGAATTCAGTCAATTGACAGTCAACGCTTCTTAATCACCTCCTCCAGTCCTACTCCTCCACTTTCCCGACCGGACGCCATGGCTCAACAATCCTCTAATCGGAAGCTCAAAATCATTGCCGGAGCAGACTCATTCGGGGTCCCGCTCAAAGACGCTTTAGTCTCCCACCTCCGTGCCCTTGACATCGAAGTCGAAGACCTCGGAACGGACAAATACTACTCCGTCGGCGAAGAAGTCGGCCGCCGCGTCAGCCAAGCTTCTTCCAATCCTGATCCCTCGACCGAAACCCGCGGTCTCGTCGCCTGCGGCACCGGGGTCGGGGTCGGCATCTTTGCCAATAAATTTCCCGGGGTGTACGCGGCCACTTGCCTCACCCCGGATGATGCCATTAACGCGCGTTCCATCACCAATTGCAATGTGCTCGCCGTATCCGGCATTTCGACTGAGCCCGAAACGGCGAAAAAGATCCTCCACACCTTCCTCGACACTCCGTTTAAATCCCCTTGCCCTGCGTCCGGTTCGAATCCTTGGCCGGCCGAAATCGAATCGTTCTTGGATAACTCTGTTTCGGAAATGGCATCAATTGGGAAATTAGACAGTAATGGGGATTTTGAGGTTCCATGCTTGTTGTGCTCACTGGGGAAAGAACGCAAAGAAGGAGATTTTACACCGGTGGATATAATGCCCGGGGCGTCTATGAAGATCATTAGGGAGAACCCCACATCGGCCATTGTTAGATTCAAGGCTGGGTCAATGGAGCCGGCGCATCATCATACACACGGACATGATTTGGTGGTGATCAAAGGGAAGAAGAGCGTTTGGAACTTGACTAAAGGTGCCAGATATGATTTGGAGGCAGGGGATTACTTGTTTACCCCTGCCGGCGATCTGCATCGAGTTAAGTATCATGAAGATACAGAGTTCTTCATCAAGTGGGATGGCCATTGGGATATTTTCCTGGATGAGGATCTTGCTGCTGCCCATTCTGCTGTTGAAAAGGAGAATTAACTTGGTGGGAAGCCAGCCCCATTTGATGCTGGTAAAAATTGGTTTGTCTTGATCATCCAGCTAAATCTTGAGCTTTCTTTGGAGTTGTTTATATGTATAGCTGCTTTATTGCGTGTTTTGAATGTTGGTTGACAATGTTCCAGTATCAGTTTAGTATTCTGATTGGCCTTATATTTGGTTCAATCTTGTCACAATGAGAATGCGCACCGTTACTATCTTTAAGTTGACATGGAAATAAATGAGTTGATTTCATTTGCAGATGCAATTGATGTTACTATTTCCAGTTCACAATTTGTTTCTTAAGGATTGTATATTATATACAATTGCAGAAAAATTATTGTGTTTTGCATTCACACATCAGGAATGATTAAGTAGTTATGATCTACCTACAGATAGGCACTGAGTTAGGCATTGGAGGAACAAGACAAGTTTTGTCCCTCAAATTTTATTCTGAAGAGGCTGGATTCTTCTTATTGCTAGAGCATAGAGTTTTGACCGAGTAGTTACTCTAATGAGTTAATTAGAAACTCTTGCTCAGGGTCAATAGTTGGATTGGCTTAACCTTCGATTCACATCCTCATTTTACTGGAAGAACCTTGAGATGAGTCCTAGCCACATGCTGCCTTTCTTGTTTAAAACAATCAAGGCCATTGACTAAAATACTCCTGAAAATTCCTGTTACTTAGTAGTCTCTTTCACTTCTCTCGTCGGTATACTTTCTATCTAGTTACATGATTCTACTTAATGTGAGACATTAAACACATGAGTTTTGATAAAACAAAACCTCTTAAATAATCAAGCTACATCTCTAATCCACTTTAACTCTCATATCTTTCGAAGGCCTCATCATCAGGATTATCTTAAAATACGAATGGGATATGCATAATCTGCTTCTAAGTCCATTGATCCATTGCAAAAGTGTCATTCAAACTCCATTTTAACTTGTGCTTAATGCATGCAACTTTTGTCAGCTTGCATTCTCATTAGTGGAATGCAACAAAGGCTTTCAAGCACAGACCTGGGTGTGCTGAAATTTTTTCTAAGATCAGCATGGTTTTGGCACTGACCCTTATCTTTATCTGTTTGTGTCTACCTCTTTTTATTCGTAAGGTAGCTGTTGAATGTTTCATGCTTGTTTTTAGTTCGTTGCATAAAGTCTTGGATCTTATTTCATAAGTCATGTCAGGAGTAAGTAGTATATAAAAAAGTGGAAAGGTAAGCATAAAATATCTTGAGATTTTATTTCCCACAAGGCAAATAATATTTGCATGCGAAAAGAGAAAAACCAGATTCGGGTGGCGCAATGTAAAGTTGAAGCATTCCGAATAATGTTTACTACTCCTAGCTATGAAACTGTCACCAGCATAGAAGGATTCATAGTTTATATGGACCGCTGATGGTAAATATGAGCTGTTTGATATTTCATATCACCCTGAACTCTGATCCTCCTTATCAATTTGTATACCCTTCTCTTTCATTTAGGGATCATGGGAATTGTGGCGCCTTTGGTGAGTGTTTACTATCTTCTTCATGGAATTTGCTTGCTGGAGAAGTGATAATATGTTTCTTTTTGTCGTGCTTCTCTTCTGCGCTCTCCCAGGGTGCTTTTGGTTGATCTTTTGCCACTGGTTCTGATCCCTCACCAACTGAATGCAAATGCCAAAATTAATTATGTGTTGTTAGTCGCGGTGTATAATTATAAGCTAGGGCAGAATTCAGAAATAAATTATGCTTGAGAAAATCTGAAGCTGGTGGTAGAATATTTAAACATAGCCTAGTGTTGCTACAGTATTTCCTGAAACATAATAGGTTTAGTTATTATGTTTATTAATCTTTTTGGAATTAAGCTGATTTGAATATATATATATATATGTATATATATAATCTTTTCTTCAAAAAAGAATTAAGTTGATTGCATGTATCAATATATAGGCCAGAAGTTGAAGTAAACCAAAATGTGAAAAGCATTATCCTAGGGTGAGGAATGACAGATAATTGGCATTCGAGCATCATTGATATGTTGTGCTGATGGTACTAGATTGATTTGAGAAGAAAAGACTTGCAGGAGTCCAAAGTTACACCAAATTGGTGAAAATATAGCAAGATTGCTATGAGAGACTCAAACTTCGGGTAAATGCTAATCAACCATTTATGAGAAGCACAGTTGATACAGATTCTCTTTAACTTCATTGTTTCTGTTTCGGGTGGTAAACTTTGGTGGCTAAACTTTGGCTTAAGAGAGAGAGATGTAACTAGAAGCTATTTTGGCTAAGAGTCAATCTCGAAATGGATATGCATTTGAAAGATAGTATTTATACACATACTTGGTAGTTTTGGCAAAAATAGACTCTTGGAAATGTTGATCCACATAATGTAGATAGTTTTTGGAAGAGACTCTTGGATATGATATAGAGAAAACAAATCCCTTTTGTTTTGTTGGCATGTCTAAAATTTCATGTATGTACAAAAAGAAGAAGAATAATGTTACAAAATGAAAACACTTGGTAGAAAAACGAGGGATTTGAGAAACATACGATCGCACTGCTTGACACAGATAGCGAAACACTGGAATGCTCTGGTACCCCTCTTTGCGCATTCGACTGGGCATTGACGGGTGCAAGGTGAATCCGCTTGCACCGCAAGGCTTTCAACAAGAACAAGAAGAAGAAAACTGCAAAACACAGCTTGTGATCTCTCCATGTCCCCTTTTATCTTCCTTTCCTGTAATTTGTATCTTCAGCCCCTTCTGGTATAATCTACCATTGCAAGGAATACTTGCTCTGGTTGGTGAGGTTTTATATCAATGCCAGGGTACCGGTTACATGATGTCAAATGCATATTTATCCGATGAGTTGGAATCGATTCAAGTTGTTTTAGGTGGTTGTTTTCTTTTCCCTTCTTTTTTTTTTTTTTGGTTTTTTATTTTTCTGTTCGTTTTTAGCCGTCTCAAGCCAGCAGATATATCCATTTTCTCAGGAGAACCTCATGTTGGTCGTGATCAGTTGACCAGCATTTGATTGAATAGAAAAATCCGTGATTTAACCCAGATCGTTGAGCTCGCTGTCAACATTACCCGAAAGTATTATCGTTAGTCAAATTGTCCCGATTTTTGAGCTTTTAACTAATTTCGTCCAATTAACAAAAATTTTGGTAACCTTAATATATTTTCCATATTGTTTAATAAAATAATACTCTTTCGGTTCTAAAATGATTGCGTAGTTTAAACACTCGTAGTGTAAATTACGTCAAAATTAAAAATCTAAAGTAGACAAAAATTTGAGAATGGAGGAAGTGAATTTCATCACAAAAATTCACCTATGATCTGAGAAAAGGCAAAAATAATTACCAAAATATGAAATCAACAAAATAGCCCCACCTGCTTTTTCTTGTGCTATTTCATTCCTTCTTTTTTTTTTTCACTATTTTTTAATAAACATAAAAATGTATTATATGGTCTTGAATGAGACATTTGTTTATTTTAGTCTCTATTGCGCATTCGTACACATTTGTAACTCATGTTTGTATTCATTATCTACACATATTTAAACTAATTTTTTTTTAACATAATTTAGTAATATAGATAACATTTTGTAGTTTATTTTCTCTCATCTAGAAAATAAGAACGTTGAACTTACCATGCAATTTTGCTTATAAAAAAAAGATTCATTTCGGATTCCAAAATAATTTTTATTAATTAATGCATTCTAGCGTATTACAATTTGACTTCTTCAATTTGAACATAGAATTTCGTTAGACACTATTGCAATATTTAGTATATTTCCTATAATTTCCTTGTTTAGGGTTTGTTATTGTCTATATATATAGTCTGTATATTGTACATAATATGATTATGAATCTAATACAATTTCCCTATTCTAAGTTGGTATCGAGCTAGGTTACCCAATTTTTTTTTTCCTTTCTTCTTCTTTCTTTTCTCTTCCCCGCCGGTTTTCTTTTCTGGCCGTGCGAAATCCATCCGCCGTAGTCGGCCTTTTTTCTTTCTTTTCTTAGCCGCCACACACCCGTTCTTAGCCGGCGTGCCCCTTCTTTTTCCCCTTTCGAATCCGTTCCGTCGTCGGTCGCATCTTCCTGCTGCTGCCGCCGTTTTTTTTCTGCTGCTCCCGCTGGTTCTGTTGCTGCCGTTGATCTCCGTTGCTGCTGCCGGCGTTTTGCTGCTGCCAGTTCGTCGTTAGGCGTGCCTTTTCTGCTGCTGTTTTCTGCCCGATCTCAGCGTCGTCGTTCGCGGTACAGCTCCCTGCCGCTTGCTGATCTCTCCGCCGCCTGCTATTGCTTCTTGTTCCCTTTTCCTTCCACCTTCGTTTTTTTTATGTTGCTGCTGCTCTTCAGCCCTTGCTGCTGTTCTGGTGGATCCGTTGAGCAGCAAACCCTTGGTGTACGTTGCTATTGTTTCTTGTAAACCCCAAAAAAAAAAAAAAACAAAACAAAAAAGCCACTTGGTCTTTATTAAGTCTTGCTTGCTTACTTTCAACAATGACTATCATCGACCTTTCATCCACCGACCAGGCTACCCATCTTCGGCCGGCGGCACCTTCTTCACAGACACCAGTGTCCCTTCTTCAACCTACTCTGCAATCTCTCAATCATTCTTTCACTGTGAAGCTGCAATCTCGAGCCAACTATTCGTCTTGGCGTCTTCAGTTTACTCCTTTATTGACCATGTTTCGTGTTGCCGGTATTGTTGACGGCACCGAACCTGCACCGCCATGTTTTCTTCCTTCCGTCAGTGGTGCCGCGCCCTAACTCAATCCTGAGTTTGATATTTGGCAGCAAAAGGATCAGCTGGTCCTCTCTTGGATTCTTTCTTCCATTGTTGAAGATATTTTTCCCGTTCTCCAGGGCTGCACAACGTCGGCGGCTGCCTGGACAACTCTTCAGCAGGGTTTCGGCACTCTTTCTTATGCTCAACAGACCCAGATTGTTATGGAGCTCCACAGCTTGCAAAAAGGTGACTTGTCGGTCACGGCTCTCCTCTCCAAAGTGAAGGGTATCGCAGATACACTGCAGCTTGCCGGCCATCGCATATCTCCTGCGGAGTTCAATGCCATAATCTTCCGCAAGCTTGGTGCCGAATTCAATGGCATCATCGGAGCTTTACAGCAGCGATCCGAACCCCCCTCCTATCAAGATCTCCTCGGTCAGTTAGTTTCGTATGAGGTGCTTCTTCACGCCCAATAGCCGGTCCTTCAGCCAACGGCCATGCTTGTGCAGTCGCCACCTTCTCCTACGCCGCCTCAATCCTCTCGTGCCGGTCGCTCGCCACGCGGCGGCCGGCACAATCAGGTTTCTGGCCGTGGTGGTGGTCAGCGTGGGTACACCCCTCCCGCCCCGGGTGAGACGTGTCAGCTTTGCGGCATCTTGAATCACACGGCCGCCACTTGTCGCCGCTGTTTTGATGTTAATTTTGTTCCTCGATAGTATACCACTCTCACTCGTCCAGATATCTCCTTTGCGGTTAATAAGCTTTGTCATTTCATGCATCAGCCTCGCACTTCTCATTTTCAGGCTCTCAAACGGGTTTTTCGCTATTTTCGTGGTACCGTTGCTTACTGTTTAGTTCTGCATCCTACAGATTTGGGTACTCTTACTGCGTTTAGTGATGCTGATTGGGCTGGTTGTCCGGATGATCGTCGTTCTACTACTGGTTTTCTCATTTATTTGGGACCTAATCTCATTGCCTGGGCATCTAGGAAGCAGCCCACTGTGGCTCGCTCGTCTACTGAGGTTGAGTTTCGTGCGGTTGCTAATGTCTGTGTTGAACTGCATTGGGTGTGTCATCTGTTGTTCGAGTTGGGCGTTTCTTTACATCGCCCTCCCTCTATTTGGTGTGACAACAGTAGTGCAGTTTTCCTTGCCGTCAATCCTGTGTTCATGCTCGTACTAGACATATTGAGGTTGATTTTCACTTTGTTCGAGATCATGTTCGGCGAAAGTTTGTTTCGGTCAACTCTATCTCTGCTGCTGATCAGCTTGCTGATATTCTGACAAAACCCTTGTCCAAAGAGTTATTCTTTCGATTCCGGGACAAACTTCGGCTTCTCTCTTCTCCGCCGTAAGTTTGCGGGGGCGTATTGTAATATTTAGTATATTTTATATAATGTCCTTGTTTAGGGTTTGTTATTATCTATATATAGTCTGTATATTGTACATAATATGATTATGAATCTAATACAATTTCCCTATTCTAAGTGACACATAAGTTATAATGTTCTACCAGCATTCAGTTACAAGAGTAACGATTAACGGCTTGAAACTCTAAAAAGTTTGTGTTAAACCCTCGATCTCATTTTGTACTAACTGGGAAGACAATGTCAATAGATTCATTTTGGCACTTGAACAATAACCCAAGTTCTTGTAACAAGTAGTTAATCATTTGGTTTGAGTCAAGTTCCTCTTTTGGGTCAATTCAATGGCCCTCAACAAGTCATATAACTATGAATTTTTCTTTTAAATAGAAAAAAAGAAGAAGAAAATAAAAGAGAAAGTAGCAGTTCTCCAAGTTTTTTGAGGCTCCCTAGAAATATGCATTATTCCTAATGTGGAAGCATTATTAATGCAAATGCTTAAGCTGATTTAAAAATAAAAAAATAAAAAATGTTTGGTTTTAAATATCAGAATTGCTAGCTCCAAGCTCTAGCGTAGCTTGGCGCCAGGGAGAATATCCTAAAATCGGGGATTGGCAGGTGCACACAGACCTGCAATATAAGGAACTTGGTTAGACTTCTACACTAAAGCATCATCACTTATCCTGATGTTCAACGAAGAGGCAATTAATAACTTGAAACTACTGTGGAATTGAATGCCTACTTCTTTTGTGCAACCTGAGCATTGTTCGTATCTCCTTTTGATCAGACCCTGTCAGTTAAGTCCCTCATGAAATCTGTCCACCTACTGAATACAAGAATCGCTATGTTTGGAACAAAGAGAAACTAGAGAAGACCTCAGCGCTTAAGAATTCACCATAGAAATAGAAATGAAAGTTTGCTAGCTGCACTTCTTATCATATAAGGACAATAATACAATCCTAATACACAAATCTGCTTCTGGTTAACCCTTGTAACAATTCTCTTGTAGCACTAAACAGGAATACTTATCCTGGTTTCAAGTTATTGTCAACTGGTTAATCACAGGTCCATATCACACCTCATTCTATCTACTCTTTATCGTCTTGCTCATTGTGAAATGTAAGCATGCATGTCTACCAGGCACTATGTCAGCACATTAGCAAATCTACTTGGTAACCTTAATATTACACCATATATCCCTGAAGACCCTCATATGTTGCTTCAATTTCAGATTTCGCAAATGAATAGGATAGCAGCACACTCAATAAATTAGTGAAAAACTCACAGATGGTTTACCAACACGTTTTATTGCAATTCCATTCATTGGCATACCATCCAGAATAAGTGCCCCCAAGGGCTTATTGAAGCAACAAATTAGCATGAGAAGTCTAAAAACCTCACATGCCTCTACATGGGCTGATTTTCATGTTACTCAGATCCTGATTTTCTTATAACAGCCTTGGTAAATGATGTTAAATTCATCATGTTACTTCATACAACAAGCTAGGATCAACACGTACCCGGCCGCATGATGCTTTAACATTACTTATTTGTCAATGGCCACCATGGCAACTATTCCTGCCACGGTGACCAACGATCGGTCATGAAGTAGATCCTCATTTTCATACATTTTTGGTAAAAAATAATATAAAAGTACTTTACTTATAACATAACAGAGCATTTGGATTTATTCTTCAATTAGCAGAGAATTTGGAAAAAATGGATGAAGAGGGATCAATGATGCATGACTACCAGAGTGGAACATAGATAGTTTTGAAACTTCTCACATATCATGTGTTGACAAAATAGCTGATTCATCACAAATTTTCTCCCATGTCTTTGTAGCAAGGAGCCAAGGACCACCAGGCAGAATTCTAATTAGGTCTTACGATTGTATTCAAACAAGCTGAAATGGGTGATTTTATTAGTTAAAATGAAGAACTACGATTAAGAACCTGGATGTCTTGCCTACTTACGTTTCAAAACATAGCAGTTAGCATAGTTTCTGTTTGGTTTAATTGTCAGCATGAGAGCCATATCGTTCTCAACAAAATCAGATAGTTCGTAGGAAGAAAGCAGGAGTACATGAGACAAAGTTGAGGCGTAGAGCTACGTCATTCCACAATCAATGTATTTCAGGAATGTCCACAGGTCAGCCGCACTAGGTTCTGCAATAAAAATGACTGTTTCCGGCTTTAAGTACGCTAGTCCACCTGATTCTCAGAAGAGGTTAGGATAGCTCTCAAATAATAGTTTCTTAGGTGAATGCTATCAAAGGTGGAAAATTTCTTGTCAGAGGTCCTTGATATGCATTTTTCATTCGGCAACCTATGCATAGGAATGCAAAAAGAACTGGATTGATAACTTGAACTGGCTGGTGTATGTCAATTTGGAACAACATTTTAAAGTTATTTCCAGAGGACGAAATCTGTCAGCAGAAACAATCATTGGCCATCTCAATTGGTTCCTAAAACCTTTGCACCAGTTCCAAGGAATAATCTAGCTATGACTGGTGATGAATCGGAACTTCTGGCCGATGTATGGTAAAGTCTCAATGAAAAATATTTCACATGACAGAACTCACCAAACATCAAAATTGGAAACTAGATTGGCAATAAACACGTGATAAGAAACTCATAAACATCAGATGATACCTGTCAATAAGTTTTGCTTTCTAATCCTAAACCACTGTTCCCAGGCTAGAAAATGCACTTGCGCAGAGCTCAGTAATCCTTTTACTTAATTTGGATCTTCTTCCAAGTATCTCTCCCTCTAGCTCAGTTTTAAAACCAGTTCTGCAGTGGTTCATATAGCAGTTAGTGATCTCAGGACAACAAAAGGACTTCAAGACTTTGTGCCAATTTTAAATCTAATAGAGAAAAGGAATAGGAAGCTCACGCCTCTCAGAGTAAAATTTCACGTATCAACAATTTGATGACATGAAAACAGAAGAACCAAACATATAACAACAAAATCATAAGTGCAACAGCAATGAGATACTATATTCAAGTTCAAAAAAGGCAATAGAATACACAACCGATCTTTCAACCTTGAAATTTGATAGACCTAAACAACTATTCTGTAAGCAGTATACCCACAAAAGTAACAAATTGAAGGGGAAAAAAAAAGGCCAATAAGGTAGGCAGTGCAGTCCTAGGGAGCACTGACACATGCATTGTTCAAAAACATCCTGAGGACTGATTAGCTGCCATCACCATACAAAAACATCAATCTAAGAACCTAAGTCTGATTCCCAAATACAAAAAACATGATTAGTCTGCTGTTCACCTCTAAAACAGCAATCCTAGGGAGCACTGACACATGCATTGTTCAAAAACACCCTGACTGATTAGCTGCTATCGCCATACAAATTACAAAAACATCAATCTAAGAACCTAAGACTGATTCCCAATTACGAAAAGCACCCCAACCTTTAGCTCACCTAAGGCTGATTCCTTATTAAGAGCTGAGCTGCCAGAAGGTGAATTTTCTCTATCTTCTTCTGCTATGTGAATCCTTTTAGCTCCCCCTTGTAGTTCAACCCCGCTGCACCTGTTTCAGGGAAACATATTTTAGGAAATTAAAACTTGACTTGAAGTTTCCTTTCACCATGATTTTGTTCAAAGGAAAACAAACAATTAACTAAACCAATGAGTTACAGATAAAGTCAAATCACCGTTACCGTGAGTGGATGTTCAGCGCTCTTTCTCCATTTCCTTGTAAAGCTTCTTTCAGCGAGAGAAAACTTGGAACAAGAGTCACTGCTTGAAATTTTGAATTACTGTCACCAACTTTAAGACATTCCCATTTATTGGTTTCTACATTGTAATGTATGATGAGAAACTTCGAGTAGTGAAACATCAGCAGCGATCCACATTTCAAGTAGTCAATTGGTTGGCAGACAATGTCAAAACCCGTTTCTGTCATCTTGAACTTAACAAATTTGCTCCAAGATTCTTTGACACCATATATCTCCATTATCCATACAGTAGCATGATCATCATCAACAAGGCTTAAGCAGAGATTATCATTCAGTACACCCATGCTCATAAGTGTTTTTGTGCTATCAAAACGCTCACTGCCGCTTGATGGTGGTGTTGGGAATTTCTGGAAGCTCTCTTCTGTAAAGTTGAATGAGAGAATTCTACGACAGCTCTCATAAGAATAAAACCAATGCAGGTTCCCATGCAGACAAGTTGGGAATGTTAGCCTACCATCATATGAGGGTGCGTAGCCAACATCGTGCCAAGATTGGGTTCCAAGGGTATGTACTGCAGCTATCCTTCTGCATACCATGCCATCCCACCTCCTTTTATTTGAATTTTGGTGAGTTGTCCAGGGACTCGGTGATACCCTTACCATTGCATATGAAATCCTGATCACCTTTAGCTCTTTGGTGGTTGGACAGAAACCAAATCCACAATCAACAAAGTCTCTAACAGGCTCCTTGCCCGCTGGAATATGTACTAATTCTTTGGTAACAGGATTGCATACAACTATAGGCTCGTAGTTTGAATCAGTGAAACAAATAAACCCATTGTAGGAATTGACTACTCTGAATCTATCATCTGTCAGCCCCAAATTAATAGCGGCAACTCCTGGATCGCGCCATGGTAGCCTCAAAGGGAAATCGGGGCATATGTGAAGGTTTTCATCACATTCATGGAAAGTGCCCATTTCAGATTGATCAACAAGATACCAAATCTTAGGAACACCTAAATCATCATTGATACTATTAAGTAGTAAACCCACTTCCTGCTTTGCAAAGTGCATCTCAGCAAACTCAGCACTTAGGATCAAATGATGCCAATGCTTGCACACACGCATGCAAACAAAAATTACCTTCAAAGGTAGCCTTATTAAGATATCTTCAATGATATCATCAGGCATATCCATGATGGATGCAACACAATTATGAATCTGATCATCTAATTTTCCAATATTCATATCTGCAGTCATCTTAGCAGCCCTCAGTAAATAGAAAAACACAGTTTTGGACAATAGATCAGTTATAACACCTAAACAAAAACCGGAAAACACTTCATATGAGTCCATAAAATACTGCCAATAGTTCAAATATCATACAATTTGAAGAAGATGAAAAGGGGGCACAACGAAGAGAAATCTATAAACAGTAGATATCAATGAAGCGACTAAACATGAGAAAGAAACGTTCACATTGAGGAAAAAAAATACGGTGGCTCATTAAATTGAGATAAAGAAACGTTCTTTTTATTGCAAAACAAGAGAATAATTACACAAGAAAAAAAAGAAAATTCCTTGACAATAGTGTATCAATAAAACAAAACCATACATTTACATACAAACTTCTTGATTAATGAGATAAGAAAGAAATCAACAAAAACACAAAAAACACCCCACATCCGGTGGAATTCTATGGAATCGTAGACTCCAGCACAACCCACATTTGAGAAACAAAGAAGCGTTCTCATTCATTCTTCACAAACCCTCTTGAAATTTTATCCCAATTCAACTTGCAAAATCTTTAAAGGAAACAAAAAGGAGGAAATTACCAGCAATCAAGAAACAGCAAATTTATCAATTCCGGTGGCTCCGTGGCAGAGTTCAGCTCATTCAGATGGGAACGCAGGAATGTGGGTGATTATGATCTTCAATTTTGCTGGGAGTAAAACAGAATGTAAAAATGAATTCAAGAATGTAAAAAGATGAAGAGTTTTGGAGTTCTGAAAGAATGAATTTTGATAACTCTGTATTCTTTTCTTCTGCAAGGCACTGTAATTGAGCGTATTTGAGCCAAAACTTAACCAGGCTAGTCAAACTGTCAATTAAGCTAACTATGATTAAAATAGCAGTAGTACTAATAAAGGGCCATATCAGCAGAAGAAAGAACAGAAGAGGCGGGAAAATGAAATGAGCTTCGAGAATTGATCCCGGGACCACGCTTTCAATATTGGTTTGCGCCTTAAGTTCGCAGTTGATTTTTTCTTTTCTTTTTTTTTTCCCTACTTCCTTCCTCCCAAAATAATTGACTTGTTTAAAATTTTACATTTAATACAATGAAAATCCAAGTCAAACAATCATTTCGGAATAAAAATTTAAACAACATAATTATTTCAGAACTAATGACGGATTCAGATGGGGCTATTGGACATGACTATATGAGATGCAAGTCTAAAAGAGTTTCTTTTTTAACAATAAACATACTCATATTTTTCTTCTGAAATTGTGTTTAATAGATTGCAAGTGATGATAAGTTAAATTGTTAGTTTAAAGTGAATGGATAATTTGAATTACAATGTTAAGTTAATTGCTCGCATTGATTTTTTTTTTCTGTTTTTTTTTAAACCTGGCTGATAATAGGGAGAATTGTTTGTGAAAATGGAACATTGAGAGCATTTTAGTTGGATTTGAGGATTCTTTACTATTTGTTTATTTATTTGGCAATGTGTTGTTAAGGTTCCTTCAGAATAGGGGTCCCCCTCTCCCCCTTTTAAGTTGCCAGATTTCATTTGATATTTATTAACTATGCTTCTTTTCTGGCAGAGAGCCTGAGACTGAATTATGATATGTGTGCAGTGGAGGTTTATACAGGTTCCTTCGTTTAAACTTCTGGTTTGTGAATGCTTTTTTTTTTGTTCCATGACTCTGAAATATGTGCAGCATAATATGAAGCATTATTCTTGGATGGTGTTTTTCTCTAGGAAATCCGAGATACTTGAGAAAGCGAAGGGGGTTTTCAAATGCAAAATATGGAGCATTATCCTTGTATGGTGTATCAGCGACAAAGTTCTTTTTTATATTCTAATGATCATTTGGTTGTCTTACATCAATGTATTCAAAAGAGTCAAAATGTGAGATTTGTTTATAAACGAGTCAGATTAGTTAAGAGCAAAAGTTTCAGAGGTTGACAAGTATGACAAACATCAAGAATAGAGGTACAGACTTTACAATCAAGCATGCTTGATAGAGTTCTATACAACCAAGAGCGTAATGAGTTCTGAAATGTTGATAGTGTTTTCATGGCTTCCGATCCACGTACCTACAAAAAAGAAGGAAAGCTTTTACCTTATGTTAAAAAAAGTACTCATTATTGGCATCACCCAGTTTGATCTTACCTTCTTTTGCCTTTTGTGCTAGGAAACTCTCATAAGCCTTAGCCATTTGAAAGTATCATGAGGATTATCATGAAGTCTGCCCTGCAACTCTATCATTTTTGAGTGTGCTTCTTTTAACTTCTTCTTCAGTCTCTTCATTTTCACCATCAATCGATACTGCTTAGTACCTCTGGCTTCCTCCTTCCAACTTTCTGATACTACAATTTTGAAACTAGGGTCTGGACTCCACATATTAAAATATTTGAAGGGTTTAGGAGGCTGTTTCATTCTTATATCTGTATGAACTAGAAGTGGAGTGTGATCCGATACTCTTTCCAATAATACAGTAGCTAAGGCATCTAGGAAATTTATGACCCATTCCCCCTTAACCAATACTCTATCAATCTTTGACATGATTCGATTAGTTCCTGTCTGTCGATTACTCCAAGTATACGGATACCCCTGTTATTTCAAATCTTGCATTTGGCATTCTTATATACATCTTCTAAATTCTTGGATTTCTACCAACATAACATGTCTTCTCCCTAATCTTTCCTCAATTTTCAGTACATTGTTAAAATTCCCCATAATAATCGAGGCAACAGTTACAGTTCTAGATACTTCAATTAATTTTTTCCAAAGCATTGACCTCTCTGATGCAGTATTGCTACCATAGACTGCTGTGAGAGTATACTCAGAGTTATCCATTCTCTTGACTATACAATGTGCCATTTGGTCAGTACATAATATAGTTGAGAGTTGAGCTTCTTCTCTTTTCCATAACAAACAGATCCTCCCTCTATTATGCATGTCATAATTCACAAAGCACTGAAATGATTCCACATCCTATTTAGGTATTCCTCCCCTTTAGTTCTAGTAAGTTTACTTTCTGTAAAAATAGCAATATCTATATTACGATATGACACCATTCTAGCTTGTTCTTTTTGTTTTATAGAGCTGTTCAAGCCCCTGATATTGCAGGATAAGATAGTACTCATTAATTACCTGGATCAGGGGGATGGCCTTATATTTCCTTCATCTTCTTTCTCAGGCTCAATTGCATTGCTGTTACTGGAACTAGCCTGTTCCTCATCATCAAGCACCTGGAACCTGGTCATATGTATTTCAACTAATCCTTCATTATCCTTTGGCATTGCATTATCTTTTCCAGTTCTAATTCTTTCTGTATATATGAGTTTTGGACCCTGATCAGATTGTTCTTCTCCACAACAACAATTTTCCCTTTTTGTACCTGTCTCCATTCCTTTATAGTAAGAATCCTTTTTTTGTTATCTGGAGTTTTGGATAGATTTCCTAAGCAACTTTTAGGTTTTTTTTTTTTTTTTTTTTTTCCTGCAGACCTCATCTCCATGACCATATCCCTTACAGTGGGTGCATTGCGTTGGTCTCCATTCATAAAATACTGGTGCATACTGGACTTTAGACTTCCACATCAATTAGTACTCGTGCATACTGGTGCATACTGTATCTCCACATCAATTAGTACTCATGCATACTGGACTTTAGACTTCTCAGTTGTTTCAACATCTACCATAATAGGCCTACCCAAATTACTCGCCAATCTACTAAGAGATTAAGGTTTCAGTACTTTAATTCCAGTCCATGGAATTGTACCCACCCTGGAACATGATTAACTTTTCTATAGTTGATTCCCTTTTCAAATGGATGGTCCCAGTGAGAATTGAACCCTCGACCTTTCGGTAATAACTTTCCCACATCCTAATCCCCTAACCACCCTACCCAATGCCCTACACATTTACAGTGTAAATCAAGATACTAAAAATTAGAATAAAAGTACGGTGTTGAAAATTTATGATATTATACTCACAATGGTATTAACCATTGTAGATGCTCTTAGTATAACAAACAAACATGGCTAAACCGTCATCATTGTTGAATCTTTAATGTTTCCTACATATGCGCTTCCTATTAATTTTGGCAACACACTTGAAACCGAAGCAACTAACCATACTTGGATGATTGCAGCTTAAACATTTTTATCGTAAATGATACTCCTTCCGTCCAAAAATGATTCTTGTATTTGTGTTATTAGCCCTATTTGTTTTACTAATACTAATAGTGCAACAAAAGAATAACAATAACTTTTGCGATAGAAAGAGTAATATCTTTTTCTTTTTTATTTAGGTTACATAATATTATGATTTCTTCTTATAGAAAGAATATCATTTTCGGGAGCTTGAGTATATTTTGTAGGAACATCACGGGGATATAGTTTTATCTAACCTTCAAATCCTCTCCTCAAGATGCAATGATGATTCCACTAGCAGAACCATCATCACCACACATGTCAAGGTAAGCATTACTCTTTCCGTCTGAAATGGTTATTCAATTTGAATTTTCATTTATAATACAAATTGTACTAAAAGTGAAAATTCAAATAACACAATATAATTTTGGAACGAAAAGAGTACTATGATTACTTAAATCGTTATATAGTAAGAGAAATGTGATTCTTTGCAATCTCAAAAGGGAGCTTCAAATCAAATGGAGAAAGTTGCTTTGCAAATGGTCATAGGGGACGTGGAATATTCTTTGATGCAGTAGATAAACACCATCTTTGTTTTTTGAGCTTGGAGAATAATGAGCTGCGAGAGCGTGCGGCATGCATAGTGTTAAAGTAGTAGTGGTATTGCATCATGAGACAACTTTGAAGCTTTCTGTACTAAGGAATGTATATTATGATAGTAAACACTGCATCAATCATAAACCACCAAAACAAAGAAGTTGTTATACATATCACTATCAAATCAATCAGCTAATTATACCAATGGAATGGCTAAAGTTCTCCTCCAACACCCCGAGGAAATCTATTATATACTACCTCTGTCTCCAAAAAAATATAATACACGTTAAATTTTTCGATTTTTATTATTTTAATATAAAATTCAAAACTCAATATGAACTATTATTTTTTTAGGATAGAGGGAGTAGTATATTAAATGAATATAGTAAATTGAAGTACCTAGTGGTTGGTCTATATGTTGCCACACATTTCTCAGATATATTGTGGAGGTACGTTATTGTCCTCTCTGCGATCAAGAAATGCATTAACCTTTGCTCTCTCATTCCTTCTCCTCTATAACCCTAATTCTTGACAGAAAAAGTAGATCAACGTTGATTCCTGTGTAAAGTATAATTCCTGCCTTAAGTCACTAAGGAGAAATTAATAGATAATACAGTAACTTTTTGCCCCTAAATTTTCTGTTGAAATCCATCCACCATTAAATATATGCATCCGAATATGTTTCATACAGGCACCTTATTCTGAAATGTGGAGATTCGCTAATTTTTTGAAATTATCCAGCAATGATTGATACCATGATATTTTTAGATGATTGCTACACATTGACGCCTCTCGATTTTGTGCGACTACAATCATAATGTTCCTACATCCCATTCTTCAGAAATTCCCAACACTTTAACGAAGAAAATTGTTTATGCTTAAACAAGCTTAGCTAGGTAAATATTTAATCACGTTCCATGTTCAACGACAACGACAAAGAAAAGAACAGAAACGAAGGAAATTCAGGTGAAAATTAAATGAAGGAATTGTTTATGCCTCCGATCTTGTTCCTTATCATTCATCCACCAAAACCAATGCAGCCCGACAACCACATCCCTTGAAAAGACGCCTTCAGAAATAAATGCACCTAGAAGAGGGGAAAAAAGATATATAATTAGGTGTTGTCCTTACGAATATATATAGGAATGAAAATGTACAAATTTTTATAATTTCAAAAAAATAAAATAAAATTGGGGATGCTTGTATAATGAGGTGCTATCCTGACAAATAAAGTTAACTTCGTTATTAGATTAACGTTTACGACCACATCTTGTTATGAGAAAAAATCACAAACATGCATGGTAAAGTTAGCATGCGATGGAAATGACATAATTAAATAGAGAAAATGAGTTAGTTAACAGATATGACTTATGTATGTGTGTACATTATTACAATTATGCCAAACTTTTTTCCAGCAATTTTCTTCAATAAGATTGTAACGACACAACTTTTCAAATAACTGCATGATTCAAATGAAACTAGCCAAGCAAATTAAATTAGTTAGAGAAGAAAACTAGTCAAGAATTATTATTATTATTATTATTATTATTATTGGTTTTTGATAAAAAAAAACTGTTCTTTTCATTTCTAGATGCAGAAATTTAAAAATAATAGATGAAGTATAGATCCAAATTCTTGAAAAACTTTAATTCATGTTGGCCATTAGAAAACGTTCCGGAAATTCTTCCTTTTATATAACACTTAGCAACACATTCATGTACTACATCATATATATTCATTCAATGATAGAGTCGTAAAGAGGAAGACATGTCAATTCAGTCTTGAGGGATGATTGATAATCAAATAAAGCTCAGACATGATTCACATGAAAAGACTATGGCAGAAATGATTTTAAAAAATAAAATAATTAGAACGTACCGTAATCATGCGGTCTTAAGGGGCACTAAAAACTCTGACCTTTTCTTGAATATTCTCCTTGCAGCAAGGGCATTCATTTGCGATTCTTTCGCGACATTCAATACAAATGACTAGATGACCACAAGGAATGAAAAGGATTCCGGTTTCCCTCTTCAAGCACATTATACATCGCCGGTGAATCGGAATGTCACAATCATCGTCCCAGATTCTGTCTGGGAACGTCTTTAATCCGTCGTGAGAAGAAGAAGAAGAAGAAGAGAAAGACGATTCACCTTGGAAACCGTAGGTTTCCTCGAGGATACTGAATTCATGATACAAAGTTATCCATTCATGTTCCACTTGTTTTCTTTCAGCCTCAATTTCTTGCTGCAAAGTTGCTACCATTTCTTCCCTAGTCTCTGTTGCAATTCTCAGTAATCTTTTTTCTTCTTTGAGCAGATCTTTCGCTTCCTCTAGTTCCTTCAACTTTTGCTTCACTCTCACCTAGGATTAAAGCAGTTCTTGTGAGCACACAAATTGGTTATTTGTTTAACAACATTCTCAAAAAAACAAAATGGAAAGAGAGTAGAGGTGTGATCTTATGCCTAGATCTCCTAAAAAATTAAGGTAATTAAAATAATTCTTACTAGAATAGAGCACCAAATTATCGCAAGAATGTATTTAAGTTCAGTATTATATGATAATTAAAGTTTGAATTTAACATCACAAACTAATTAACTAAATTACTAACAAATTAAATAGAGCATATAATAGTTGCTTATGTACCTCAAGTTCATTACTAGCTTCTTTAGTGACATGCAACTGCTTATCAAGCTGGAGGTTCATTTCTATCATCTCATGAATCTCGTTTTTGACACTATCATTCATTCCTTCAAGAGCTTCAATTTGGTTAATCATTCCCTTCTCCTTTTTTATTCCTGCCTTCAGTTTCCTCTCCAATTCAATGCCATTAACTTTACACGCAGATAGCTCGGCCCGAAGCCTCTGATTTTGAACCTCAAGATCACTTGTTCTCCTCTCCAGAAAATCAAGCGCATCACTCATTTCCCTTGATCGCAATCTCATCTTCAACATGCTGTTTATGTGAGCACTCCCAATTTCTATCTTTTGCTGTTTCAAGAGCTCGGACAATAACTCTCGCCTCTTCTTTTTCTCTTCCACTTGCGCCTCAAGCTCCTTCACTTTCATTTCCAATCTCATTGCCAATTCTTCTGTTTTAGCATCAGGGCTTTTTCCCCACATAACCTCTTCAATCGGTTCATCACCACCTTCAGCAGGAACAACATTTTCGGCTGTTGATGAGGACTCTTGATGAGATGAAAGTTTTGAGTTTGATTCTTTAGGCTTTGACTTGTCTTCTCTCTTCTTGTTGCTGCTCTTTCCTTTCTTTGAACCTGCCATTTGTTTCAACTCTTCCTCACTGCCACAAGGCAATAGGGAATGGAGAAAAAAAAGTAACGAATTATGCAAATCCAAGTGAATTTTGGAGAATTTTCTTCTTATTTTTTGTATCTTAATTAGTGCGGAAATTAAAATCTCCTGAAGTAAATCATTAATTAGATACATAAATCATTCGGTGTTGATAATGTGAAATTATATCTTGTAAAAACATACAAATTAAAGCCTAGATAAATTTGGTAAGGATAATGATTGGTACAAGGAAAAAATGACAAGGAAATGATCTCACGCATCCATTTTTCATTTCATTTTTCCTTGTACCTATCACTACTCATTTGATAAATCAATTTTTCATCAATTTTGACAAAAAATTCTTTTTTTAAATAAATATAATAGAATTAGAAACTAGCGAATTCAATTTCTTGACGAGTCAGGTAAGTTTTGACGATAAAAAAAATCCTAGATCTTCTACCATAAACGTAACTTGAGCATCTGGATCTCAAGCACACAAACCTGATAACAAAGTAATTGACATTTTCATTTTTTTTTCAAATGTATCATTAAATAAAGTTAGAATCCAAAAAATAAAATAAAATAAAATAAAAAATAAAAAGAAAGTTAGAAATACACCTGACCCACCAAATAACAATGAAATTGAGATACTGAGAAAGCTGTGGTTGTTGATTTAATTTAGTAAGATTTATCCAAATCTCCTCCGACTACTTCTTCATTAATTGAGCAAATCTCCGTAGTTTGTTTGGTCGGAATCTCACCGATACTTCTAGATTTTAGCTTGATTTGAATCGCCGTCGCCGAAAGTCATGCCCCAAGAAAATCTCAGTAGCTATATTTACACCCACACACACACAATAAAAATGTCCATCGATCTATATAATTAATTAAGCTTTCTAATAAAAATTAAAACATTCAATGAAGAAAATCCAAATCGTCACCTTAGAAATTACCTGGATTAATTGTCTCCGTTGAGCTTGATTGAGGATGTTTTGAGGAAGAGGATCAATGGGATGAGCCTAAGAAGAAAGGTTTCGATTGTGTGATGAATCAGTTATATCGCCTCCACCGCTCATAAGATAGACTCAGTTTGTATGTTCAAATGGGAGTGTATCACTACAGCTGTGCACATATTTAAGGTTGTGTGTGTGTGTGTGTGTTTTTTTTTTCTTTTTTTGGTCTGTGTGTATACGTGTACATGCACTATATATATACGCATACTTTTTATTTCCTCAATGGGATTGAAAATTAAGGTATTCTTCAATAAAGGGACCAAAAACAATTCTATGAGTATTTCTATTTTGTTTCATTATATTTTGTAAGAGTAGTGATATTTAATTATTGTTTTGAAAAATAATCTAGAATACAAATAGTGTATTGAATGGTAAATAGCACAAATAAAACCCAAAAATAACATAAGCATTTAGAAAAGTTAATTTTGTGATAGATTATTTCCCGTAATTGGCAGTAATTGGAGGGTAACAACTACTCTTTGAGCCTCTCATGGAGTAATTTTGTCGCTTACTCACAGAACGTAGTAAAAATGTTAGTGGTATTGCCTTTTAGCACCAAATAAACACACACAACCCCCCACAAACTCATTGGATGAGATTATATTACGTATTAGTTTACCTAGGGTTTAGTAAATAGAACGTAACTACTTGTATTTATCTTAGTTACTAGGGTTAGATTACTTTCCATACTTTACGGTGATCTAACATCGTCCAATTGTGTATAAGTTAAACCCTATACTGTAAATCAAATCAAGGAAGTATCGGCGTTCTACGAACTCTCTTCCGGTTCCAATCTCAATCCTTGTTATGGTATCAATCGCAAGACTCTAATTCCTATTGCCATGACGAATTCATCCGATCCTTCTACTGACAAAGTCCCGGAGAACACTACTTCTCGTGGTCCTTCAACCGATTCTGTTGAAGAAGGTCCCCGCTGGCGTACCATCTCCCCGTATGATATCTCTGCCAATGACGGTCCCGGGTTCATTCTCACTCAGGTGCAACTCAAGGGGGAGCATAACTATGACGAATGGTTTCGTTCCATGAAAGCAACCTTGCGTGGAAAGAAGAAACTCGGCTTCCTTGACGGCACAATTCCGGAGCCGCCGCCTACTTCTGCCGATCATGATGATTGGTGGACGATCAATTCATTGATTTGTTCGTGGATCATGAATATTGTTGAACCTTCTCTTCGTTCGACGATCACACAGCCGGATATTGCCGCTGATCTTTGGCTTGATATTCGTGAGCGCTTATCACAGATTTATGGCCCTCGCATCCAACAGATCAAGGCCGATCTCGCTAGCTGCCATCAGATAGGTTTATCAATGGTCGTTTATTATGGTCGTCTGAAAAAGCTTTGGGAGGATCTGGGCACTTACGATCGCATTCCTACCTGTTCTTGTGGTTTATGTGAATACAATCTCGCTGCCATCGCCGACAAAAAGCATGAGGAAGACAAGGTTCATCAGTTCCTGCTCGGTCTCAATGACACAATCTATGGCACAACTCGGTCCACTCTTCTTGCCCAGGATCCTTAGCCGAGATTGAGCAAGGTTTATTCCACCCTGGTTCATGCTTAGAAGATGCATCAGATCGCTCAGAACATGGCTGCCCCAACCGACATGAACAGCTTTGCGGTTCAAGCTATTTCTGGTTCGTCTTCTTCAGCCGATTCTGTTGCTTCTCCGCTGCTTGCTGCCGTGGTTACTTCTTCTCCTGCTGGTCGTGGTGCTGCTGGGAGTATTGCTGCCTGAGAATCCTCTCTTCACTGTTCCTACTATAATCGGCCTCACCATGACATCTCCACGTGCTTCCAGCTTTATGGTTATCCCGACGGTTCGACTTCTCGCGACGGGGTCGTGGTCACGAAAAGGGACGTGGTGCAGGTCGCGGCGTTGCTGGTGTTGGTTCGGGTCCAGTTGCAGCCGCCAATACAATGGTTCATTCTTCTTCTCTTGGGTCGGTCGAACAAGCCAATGCCGTCACCGGTTTGAACCCGGATCAATGGAACTCTCTCCTTCATTTGCTGCAATTAGCTAAGTCCGGCATCACTGAGAAACTTTCTGGTACGTGTTGGTCTCGTTTTTGGATGTATGATTGTGGAGCTACTCGGTATATGACCGGAAATTTGGATTATTTTGCATCCGTCCATGATATTAGTGGTGTATCGGTTCAACTTCCTAACGGCCACCGCACTATTGCTACTAAGGCCGGAACTGTCATTCTTAGCAGCAAAGTGACCTTACATGACGTTCATTATGTTCCCAGCTTGCAATGTCATCTTATTTCAGTCTCACAATTATTGAAACCTTCTAGTTTTGTTGCTTATTTTATGTATGATTTGTGTGTTGTATAGGACCTCACTTTGAGGATGCTGATTGGAGCGGATGAGCAACGAGAGGGGCTATATTTTTTTAAGGCTGTTGAGACTGCTGCGGGTTTGAAGACAAGTAATGCACTTTCTTTTGATTTGTGGCATCAGCGGCTGGGACATCCTTCTCCTAAGGTTCTAGAATTGCTTCCCTCTGTTGGTTCTAGAATGACTAGTGGTTTGTTTAATAAGGCTTGTGATTCGAGCCAAACAAACAAGGGAGAAGTTTCCTCTTAGTACCACTGAGATATCTGTTGTTTTTTATTTGATCCATTGTGACTTATGGGCCCTTATCGAGTTCCCTCATTTTCTGGTGCCCGTTATTTTTTGACTGTGGTTGACGATTTTTTCCGTGCTACTTGGATATTCTTGTTGGTTGATAAACGGGAAGTTTTTTCTACTTTGTGTGATTTTTTTGCCATGGTTCAGTTACAATTTGGTAAATCTGTCAAAGTTGTTCGGAGTGATAATGGCACTGAATTTATGTGCATGTCTGGATATTTTCTTAAGCATGAGATTTTTCATGAAACCTCTTGTGTGGGTACTCCTCAACAAAATGGTCGGGTAGAACAAAAACATAGGCATATTCTTAATGTGGCTAGGGCTTTGCGTTTCCAGGCACACTTGCCTATTGATTTTTGGGGGGGAATGTGTCCTCACGGCAGGTTATCTGATCAGTCGAACTCCATCCAGTGTTCTTAATGGCAAAACTCCTTTTGACATTTTATACGGAAAACCTCCTTCTTTAAATCATTTACGAGTGTTTGGTTGTCTTTGTTATTCTCATAATCAGGCGCACAAAGGTGACAAGTTTTCTAGTCGTAGTCGTCAATATATTTTTGTTGGTTATCCATATGGGAAAAAGGGTTGGAAGGTTTATGATCTTTACTCTGGTGATATTTTTGTTTCTCGGGATGTTGTGTTTTCCGAGTCTGAATTTCCTTATTCTTCTTCATTCTCTCCGGATGTGAGTGTTCCCGTGGCTGATACTTCTGTTCCACTTGATGATGATGATCCTTCTTTTGATGTTGTGGCTCCTTCGACTACTGTACCTCCATCTGCTCCCCTTATTTCTGAGACTGTTAATGAAGAAATTCCTAGTCCTCCTGTTTCTACTTCCATCGACAGGGGGGGGGTTCCTTTTCTACTGGGCAACAGGAAGAACTTTTGGGTCGTGGGCATCGGGCCAAGTTCCGTTCTACTCGTCTCAATGATTATGTGTCTCATACTATAGCCTTATCCAGTCCTTCTCCTAGCTCATCTTCTTCATTAGCTTCCTCAGGTTCATCCTATCCTATTCATCACTATGTCACTTGTGATTCTTTCTCTTTGCCACATCGTGCATTTCTGGCCAGCATTACTGCAGGTGTTGAACCTCGATTTTATTCTGAGGCTTTTAAGGATGAAAAGTGGCGCATTGCTATGCAACAGGAGATTCATGCACTTGAGCAAAATAATACGTGGACTATTGAATCGCTGCCTTCTGGGAAGCGAGCCATTGGGTGCAAATGGGTGTTTAAAATTAAGCATCACTCAGATGGATCGGTGGAACACTATAAAGCTCGTCTGGTTATCTTGGGGAATAATCAGATTGAGGGAATGGATTACAATGAGACTTT